CCCTGCCGTGGGGACAGCTGCACCCAGGCAGGTCTCTGCTGGTGCCCGGAGCGCACACGGGAGGCCGGCTCGGTGCCGTGGGCCGGGGTGTTCGAATGCCGCCGCGCTGCCAGAGAAACTCTGCTGCGGCGCTACTGACTCACTCCGAGCTTTTGATTATCCCTAAGAAGTTTAATGTGTATTTCCCAATATTAATTTCAGTATTCGGTGTGTTAATTTTTGAGCTGCCCCGGCCATCACATGTGTGTGCTGCGTATAACACCGTATTTGAGCCCTGGTCATCTACAGAATTTCACTTGCACACCTGCTTATCATCTGGCTTTTCTGTTTAGATTCTGAATCAGTTACACTATCCTAAGCCTCCACGTTTTTCCATTTCTTTAATTCTTTTGGTCTCCTAGATGCTACAAAGCTGACTGCTTCACTTCTATGTGTTTGTAAGCATTACTCACAGAATCTCACAGCGTGGTGTCCTGCTCCCTCTCCCATCTAAGACTGTTTCAGGGAGGGAGAGAATACATGACAGAGGGACTGGTTTGCATGTTGGCTTTTTGTCTCCAGAAGAGGCCGGCTCACTTCCTGCAGCAGCCCTCATTGTCTGTTTTGAGCTTCTACAGAAGAGAAGCAACTAGAAGTAGGGTGTCAGTCGGTGAGGAAGAAAAGACAATGTAAAACTAACTGTGCAAGTCTTGGATGTTTCTGTCATTAGTTGTAAATGGATTCCTGTGGAAGTATGTAAGAACAGAGAAGGTATAATTGCTTTCACCTAACAATTTTATACAGCTATGTTTAGCTACAGGGAATTCATGAGTTGCATGTCACTGCTGTGCACTTAGGACTGCTCAAAGTATTCCTTTTGCTTGTACTTGTGCAGCCTCCCCTAGAAATCACATCTTAGTGTCAACAACACACTTTGGCAGCAAACTACACAGGGTTGCCCTGTTGCGTGGAGAATATATTGCTGTTTTTCATTTTGTACCTGACTCCTAGTTTTGTATGGGGCCTCATAGCTCTTCTACTGGAATAGGCTGTTTAGCTGTTCTCTCTATATTCTTCTAGATATATTTTTTAATATCAATATTCTTTTTCCTCTGAATCCTTACTTTACAAACTGACAAAGTCGTAATCTGCAAGGTTGTTCTTCATGCCTTTGACCGTCCTTGTCACTCTTGCAGGCTGTATTTAAGATGTAGAAGAGTCCTGCATTTATACAGTGGCATAATAAAATTACGCGTTTTATTTTCTGTTTCTTAGCAATTTTTATTTTTTCCTCTTTTGCTTACTACTCAGTGGTAAGCAGATGTTCTCGTAGAACTCTACCACTCTCCAAGATTTCCCTTGAGAAATGAGGCTTATTTCTCAAGCAGACTGAGTTTATTAATTTGCTTATTTGAATGTCTAGTCTAGCAGTTGGGCCTGTGTGGATAGCTCTGTGTTGAGCATCAGGGAAGTTCATCAGCGCAGTTTCATTGCTGTATGTGGTTTCATAGTTTGAGAATAAAATTCACTGGGACAGAAAGAGTGGTCACACCCAGAATGGTTCTGAACTTTGAGCTTAGTTTTCCTACATCTCAGGTGGGTGCTCAAAATTCAGATAAAGAGTAGGATCTAGGTCTTGCATTTTTTGGTGTTTCAGTTACTTTTGACCATTTTTTGTTCTAATAAGTCTACATGAAACCTTTTTGTTTCAGATGAAGGAGAGACAGATTCTGTTCTAAAATGGTGTTGTGATTATCAGTGACACTGCAGGTAGTGTCTATACTGCAGTACAGAGATAGCAAATACTTGCCAAGCTGGCTGAGAAAACTGATGGCATGGTATAGCAAATGAAATAAAAAGTCCATTTTAGGATATGATTTTAAGAGGAAACTTCTAAGAGCTATATGTTGCATTATTATTCATGCCCTGGTTTTGACATGTTTAACATGTAGCTGTTTTTTAAAAGTTCTGTATTGCATGGAAGCTTGCCTTGTCCATTTCCATCATTTATGAGTTTTCCTTTTTGAAAGGAAAAAAATAAACACAGTTCACAAAACACAGTCCTGTTTGAATTCGCTTTTCTTTTTGCAGCAGATGGAATGCAAGCAAAAACAGAAAAGATAAGATCTTCTCTGAAGAATGTGAAAAAAGATACAGGAAAACCAGAGAAGCTTAAATATAAGCCGCTCACTGGGAAGGTGTTTTACCTCGATATTCCATCAAATGTGATCTCTGAAAAAATAGGAAAGGACCTCAAAGAGCTGGGAGGGGTAAGTTAATGAGCAGAAACTGTTACGAACCTGGAAGAAAACCTGCACATGTGGAATACCTTTTACATGTTCTTTGTGACTGCATTTTAATGTTACTTGTATTTTGTATGTGACAGGATTTTAATTTTTTACGTCTGTTGTAATGTTTAATATGAACAATTAGCTTATCACCAAATTATTTTGTGTTTTTTTTTCTGGAAGCTGCTTTGCTAAATGTAATGAAAATGTTGATTATAAAGGTTTGCTTTCAGTTGATTATTCATATTCTTAAAATTTTATCCAAATTTAAGAAGTTTCGTTTAAGGTGATTTTTTTTTTCCTGCTGCTTCAGACTATATTGACACATTTATGTGTTACAACTAAAGTTGTTCAGCTAAATCTGAAAGAGACTAGAGGAAGTGTTTTGCATATGCTTACTAAATGTCAGTAACTTCATTAAGTAC